AAGCTATAATAGAAAACCTTAAAAAGCAGTTTTGTCTAACTGGATAAGCCATCATTTTCGACTAAAAGAGAGCAAGCGACAGCGATAAGGAGTAGATACTGATCTTCACATATCTTCAAATATCCACTAAGATCATAGGAATCCACTGGAATCCAGCAGGATCCCGTAGAATCCAGTAGAATCCAGTAGAATCCAGTAGGATCCAGTAGGATCCACAGAATCCGCCAGAATCCACTAGGATCCACAGAATCCGCCAGAATCTACTAGGATCCATAGAATCCGCCAGAATCCATGAGGAGCCGCGAGAATCCAAGGAGCCAGGAGCCGCTTTTTCCCCCTTGCGAAACACACTTTATTCATCGAGCGTCTACGAAATCGCACTGTCACTAAATGAAGAGTTGTATATTGTTGTTGATGAAGGTGGTTGTGGAATATTAATCTAGTTTTGATCAATAAATAAAGAAAAAGAAATTATTTTGATCAATCATCACTGTATTATATGATCTTTCATCATCTCCAGTCCTGCTAATAATCATAAATCGTGAATATCTTTAAGACCGGGTTCATTATAAAAAAAAAAGATGTATTCAATTTTTTTATACTAAGGTTTCCTTTGAGATTTTGTATCGAAAATGATAATAGAATCTGTAAGAGAACCGAGAATTAAATGTGAAGAAAATAAGATAGTTTAAAATATTTACAAAGAATTAAATTGAATTCTACTCATCAATTGTTTTGACTTTTCGATCACGTGTCTGTAAAAGTGAAATCGAATATGATATCGCTTGATGAGTTACCAACATAGATAAATTATGAAAGAAATTTCGACATGCAGATGTTACTTCTCACATATAAATAATTACTTCCAAGTAATAAGGTCAATGAGTGGGCAAGTCGCTCGTTTTAAACGGCAGCACTTAAATTTTGTACTCTCACAAGATGACAAATTCTGTACGAATTATCGCGTGCGTTGATGGTTGTAATCAACCGATAGTATAAGTCAACAGCCTCATCTTTGTATGAACTGAAGTAATCATTCATAATGTATATTTTTTAGATGAATTTGTGTAAAAACAAACCATACACATCGTACATTTTTCTAATCACTATTCTACTAACGAGGGACCATTCCCAAGTGATTAGCACCGTTTGGTCTCATATTTTGCTCATAGGCAGGATTCAATGAGACTAGAAAAAGTCTACAAGATATCGTGCCCTTAGGTCTTCCCTTCGAAGTTTTGACCGTTTTACTGTATTTTCGACCTTGGACAAGGAATTTATAGAAAAAACTGTATGAAGGAACTTCGAACTGAAAATTTTCCTAACAATAGGTCTCATCGATCTTAGAAAGTTCCAAAATTTTCAGCTAAAACTGATGCTTTCTTTTAGAGATACTGCAGATCGAAGAAAAGTCAATTTTACGATAATTTTTGGGCCATGGTCGCTTTCTTCAATCTGCAATATCTCTAAAAAAAAGCATCAGCTCTAACTGAAAGTTTTACAATTTTCTAACACCAATGAGACCTATTGTTAGACAATATTTTAGTTCGAAACTCCTTAACCAAGGTCGAAAATTCAGTAAAACGGTCAAAACTTCGCAGGAAAGGCCTAAGGGCACGAAATATTTTAGACTTTTTCTAGTCTCATTGAATCCTTCCTATGAGCCAAATATGAGACCAAACGGTACGAATCACTTGGGAATGTTCCCTTGTAAGACATGCTATAGAATTGTTTGATAAAAAGACGATTAAATTTTGTGCAAATTATTTCTTCTTCCTCTCCTCTTATTTCGTTAGCTAAAGGGTTAACGGATAAAAATTTGATAAAAACAAGTAGCGATCGTATCCTACGGATGCGCTTAATCTTTATCAGAAGATAAGACGATGTTGTTGCACTTTAACCCTTTGAAAACGGTTTCTTTTTATTAAAGAAAATATCGACTTGTTTCATCCTGTCGTGACTTCCAACTTGAACAAACACACACACACACGGAATGTGCTTTTTGATAGTATCGGTGCACCAAGCAAGCCAGCAATTAAAAATAGATTTGAGGTCATAAGATGTAAACGTATATATTTAACAGTTGTTAATCTTCTTTTGAAAGAGTCAATGCATTTAGCATCAGAAAGTCTTGCTATATGGTATACATACATATTTCTTTCATAATATCATCTTAATGAATTGAACTATATTGTGTGATTAGTAAGTGGAGTGTTCCAAACGTGTGTCTGAAAACTAAATGTAAATACCTTTTACACAATTCAAGGGTTCTCTATATTTTTGTAATGATTATCGCCAATTAGAACACAAAAATTTGTCGTTTTCGACATATTAGAAAAAAACACGACATAATTGTGTCTATTTATCAATTTATTTTCGTTATTGATACTCATTTTAAATTGAACTTAATCTTTAGTCAGTACTTTGTGTTGACTGATAAACTTTACTAATCTCTAATATTAGTATCAAAGCTTTACATATTTTAAGCCAATCTTGTAAATCATATTTGTAAAGTCTTTAGTGTAATCACAGCAAGTATGCCTTTCGTGAAATATATCAAGTCATAATTCGTTGCATAATCGTTGGTGTAAATCAGCAAGTTGTTGCAATATGCTGAACGCTCGACCATAATCCATCTTACTATAAATTATAATTTTCGTTTACTTTTTCTTTTGTAATTTTTCTTTATGCCAACTATAAAAAATATTTGTCAAAATTTATTAATTGAAATACATGACAATCATTGATAGATCGATCCAAAAAAGGTAGTCTCTCTCTAGATTGAAAGATATTTTCAAATAAACCTGAATAAATGAATATTTTTCATAAAAATATTAATTATTTATTGAGTATAAAAATCATGACGAAAATGATATCGTCGATTGTCGACGAATAGAATAAACCTAGAAGCGAAGGAGGACGAATATCGAGGCATATATATTATCATCATCATCGTAGTCTATTTTTCTTTTCATGCTTGTATATCTGGGCTGCGATTCGACCTATATTTCCTATATTTTCAAAACAGTCCCATTTGTTGTCCTATATTTCTCTAAAAATTCCTATTTTTCCTATATGTTATCGAAAAAAGTAGAAAATTTCGGAAAACCTCTTAATTTTGCTATTGTATTTAGACGAAAAAAACTTTTTAATGTGTATAATCATGTGTTTTGGACAAATTCTGAGGGTGTGGGTATGAGTATGGATCTGAATGTTCATTATTTCCACGCCCACACCCCACATCCTAGTGAGGCTTCCAGAGAATACTTCAGATCTCTCTTATTATCGGATGAGCATTAAAATATAAGGTGATATTTATGATCAGTACACTTTGCTCGGTATGACTATAAAGACTTCAAGCTGAACGGCGATCAACACCTTTTCTTCAATGTCTGAGGGGCACCCCAGGTGTGAAAAATTGAATTATGATAAAATATAAAATAAGTTTGTGGAAAATAATAAGCGATGAATGCTAATTATCAGGACAATAAAATTAAGTTGAGATGTTGTGGGAAGTCATGTCCGTAATCTGAAACGTCTCCTTTAATTATGAGAAATAGTGGTTGTCTTTTTCATGTATTTGTTTTTTCAAAGCTTATGATCTACTTTATTGTTATTTATCGATTTGTGAAAAACTTTTATAGTGATCCTCGAATTAGCGACTTATTTCAGTAGGAAAAATTGCATAAGGATCTTGACTACGGTTGAACTGTTTATAACAGCTACATTAAAACGATTTTCGAGCAAATCTCTCAAAAAACACCAAAACAATTGAACAGAAACGGTGTATAAAACGTCCTCTCTGTTGGCCATTTTTTATCGAAAATCCTATATTTTTGACAACCTTGATCCTCTAAGGATTCGTATCTTTTAAAAAAAGTGCCATCGGAGGCCAGTTGTATATAGAAAGCGAGGAATTGGCGGAAAAGGCAGAAAGGAAAAGTGCCGAAAAGGAAAACGTCGAAACTGGAAATTGCAGAAGGTAAAAACGTCGAAGAGGAGAACGTCGAATGGAAAACGCCGAATGGAAAAAGTATAATTAATAACAGTGTCGAAGAAAAACTGCCAGAGAAAAAAAGTAGAAGAATTTTGAAAAGGAAAACGTAGAATGAAAAAGATGTCTATAGATAACGAAGATTTTTTCTTCTGATTTGGCAATCAGTGCAAAGCTATTATTGAAGAGATTAGCATTACTACTTGGATCACACAAAAAAAGAAAATACTACTGATAAACTTAGTTTTCTCTTTTTTTTATTGTATCTTATCATATGATCCCAGGGCGAGAAATCCGACAGTAGGCACTTATCGGAACCCATCCGATCCGACTGGAATCCAATAGGATTTTATCGGATCCTGTCAGATCTTACAGAATTATCGTTGGATTTCGGATCGAGGAATTCAATAGAATTGTATCGGATTGTAGGATATTTCCAGGTTCCTATCGGATCCGATGTCGGATCAGTCAACCTGGGATCGAATTAATTTTTATTTTTCGTTAAAATTATTAAAAAACGCAATTTTCGACATCTACCTTTCGACGTTTTCCTTTTTCTAATTTTTTCTTTCGACGTTTAAAATTTCTTCATTCTCCCCTTCTATGTTTTCCTTTTCGGCATTTTCCTTTTTTTTTCGACGTTTTCCTTTTCGATGTTTTCCCTTTCTGCCTTTTCCACCAAAACCGAAAACGATAACAGTAGTATATATTCTTCACTTGCACTCGTGCAAAACGATGACGGCATTAACAGGAATAGGCATCTCCGATATTTTATGAAATATCTATCTATACTCTCTATTGATATTTATAAAAAAAACAAAAACGTATAAATTTTATTTTGTTTTATAAAGGTTTCGTTGGGCGGCAAGTCTCATCAAATATGTATTTACATTTTTAATACTTGCCAGTTTTATAACTCGTTATGTATGGAATCATACAATTATTCCAATATTGTCACGTTTTCATATTCCAACCATACGAAAGCGTACTCCAATTTCATTTCAACATGGCACTGTTCTTATTACTGGAGGTCAGTCAGCGTATATTTTATTAGCTATTTTTGTATTTATAATGTTTTTATGGCAACGAACATTCCCGTATTTATACTTATCGATGTGATCTTATGTTTATTCTTGTGTATTGCTACCATAAAATAAAAACTTATTAAGTTTCTTTTTGTTTTCATCGTAGAGTGATTTAAATCCACTCAAATACAATACAAGAACAACTATTCGTGAAGAATTACCTGATAATATTTCAGTATTAGTCAATTGTGCTGGTAAAGTTTATATAAAAATAATTTAATTAAAATTTTGATTTATAGCAACAGGTCATTTTAAAAATATTCTATCTCATACAGATGATGAATATCAATATACATTAATTGCCAATACACTTGCTCCAATACTTGAGGGTGTAGGTGTGAGTGTGGCCGCAGGTACAGATGATTATTCCTTAATGCACATCCCACACCTTCTTCGTAATACATTTTTTTGCCTTCAAGTTTCCAAAAAACATAGGTTTATATTTTTTGACACCATGAGATTAATAATGCTATACTTCGCATCGCATTTATGTAGTCCGCCGCGAGTTGTTTTTTTCTTTTATTTTCTCGACGTACGCATCGCGAATCATCATTTTGTGTTGATATGATCTCTCGTGAACAGAAAGTCATAGAAAACTTATTGAAACGGGAGATGAAAGTATCGAGATCGAACTTCTGGCATCTTTTTTCTATTCTTTAATTTTGATAGTGAATAGGAATATAATTTGCATGAGTACTCAATAAAACCCTACAAAATTTGTTGAAATCGCTTGCATAGCTAAATATATATTCTTACGTCTCTTGTTTTCTCTTCACAATGTAAACGGAGATTTTCTTGAAACTGAACTGTTGTCTGTCTTCTGATGCATTCGATAACTGACAAATATAGTTTAATTTTTCTCTATATCACATCAAACCAACAAAATGTAATCAGTGTGATAACGCGAAAGTACGCTTCTATATTGCATATTAAATTTGTCTTTTGGTATAAAATAATATTTTAATTTTCTTTCAGAAAATATGCTAAATCCTGTTATTCGATAACACGTACAACAATAGTGCGATTCCTTTGACTATCGATACTAATAGCCATTAGCAGTCGCGAAAAGAAAGTAATAACGGAAGACATTTATATTTCTTGCTTTGTTCTTTTGTTTGGACTCGTTTAGATTTATTTATTTTTTATGAATCTTCCTGTTTGATTTTTATTGCATAGTGATTCGAATGTCACTAGTCGTAACGTTTCAATAGATATCAATGAAAAATAATTCGTTTTCTGTTAATTTTAATTGCAGAGCAATATTTGAAAACGTTTATCTTTTCTTTAGAACGCCTATTGAGCACCACCACCACTACCACAGTGAAAAACAGGAAACAATCTTTTCAAAAGTAGTCATTATCGAAAAGCAAGACAGAACAAGCAAGCAGCACCCTACGGATATTTCTGTTAGAAAAAAAAAATGCTAGAGTAATCATGCAGCGGAATTGAGCATCCGTAGGGTATCTAAGAATAGCTAGCTTCGCTTAGAGAATTTGTTGGGTAGACAAAAATATCGAACAGCTGAGCTTTATCGACGTCAGAAAATAGGCTCTATGGTATTTATAAAAAAAGAGATGCGTGACAAAATAAAAATGATAGTTATTAATTTTGTTGATATGCACCACGAGAATTCATTGCCAAAAACACATACAGATAAGGAAATTATTTATGTGCCATTTGATCATATAGAAAGAAACAATTTATTTACAAGGAGTTCATGCGGTTGAATTTACAAAATGAAGGAAAAAATTAATTAAAATTTGCTACATAGTTATTTTGTAGACAAATAAACAAATTTGAATGTTGCATGTGAGCAAAAGCTATGTTTTCGAGAGAGAACAATGCCGCCAAGAGTAAATCTAGGGTTAAAACTAGATCGATTACGTGCTGAGTAACAGTAGTCCTCTTATCGTTATTTTTCTCAACAATTATAAAATGCAAGTGTGCTCCCTTCGATCTCACCCTTGACCTCTCCCTATATTACAGAGCTGGATACAACATTGTACTGTTTTTCTTGTTGACAAAAAAAGTCATAGGATAGACGAGAAAGAACTTTCTCGAATTCTTTCGTTTCATACTGTTGAGTTTTGAACGCAGAAGAATATTCGTCATCTTTCATATAATGATCATATTGAGACGTTTTTTGCTCCGACAGTTCTTCCTATTTCAATATAGCACTAATTGACGAGTCTTATAACCAAATAGTTTCAGCATTTTTCAATTAACTGCATTAATACGTTGACCAAAATGCATTAGAAAAGAAGCCTTTCTTCGTTTACTAACATGCTAATCTTGATAGGAAACCTTGGCAAGGGTTTTGCTTTATGTTATAATCTTCTGTCATATCAATTATTTCACTGGAATCAAGGAACAAGGTATGAATTATTTACAAACTAAAAATTTTTTATTACTGTATTGTAATAATAGACATCATTAAATGACATTTACATCATTTTGTTGTGAAGGTTTCAAAATAGTTTCTTTTGATAAATTTTACTTTGATGTATGAAGTTTATGAATTGATATAAAATCGTTGTGCGGAAGTTTTAATGTTAGAAGTAATTACAAGCCAAATATTTTGTTGATTAAACAAACTAATAATAGAATTTTAATAAATAAAAAGAAGATACATTACTCATAAAAAATCGTTTTTCATAGATACATCATGCAATTAGTTTGTGTTAGGTTTTTTCTATTCATCTATTGATTTGTTTTCCTGAAGCACTAGCATTTTATCATCGAGTGCGCATCAATCATCGCCTTAAGATGATGACTCGATGAGTGAATAAAAAGAAAAAAGGGACAAACACTGAAGAGAAGTATAGTAGAAAGAGTTGCCATTCAAGCTGAAGACTAAAGGAGCAGCAGATTGTCAGACACACGGTTCTCTCTCTCTCTATGCCCCTCCTTGATTTGTTTGCATGCGTGTGCGTCTTTTTCCTTCTATAGTCAGAACGCTCATTTATGGAATACAGAGATCTATTCTATTTACCTCATCATTATCAATAGAGGAAACGCGAAAGAAAAAGAGCGCATATAGCAGCAGAGAGCATGGAAGCAAGGAACACAAAAAGACAAAAGGTACTCATCAAACGGCCTGTTTCCTCTCCGTCATTAGCCATATGGTAGACACTGAAACGAACAATGAAAAGAAAGTATCTGCCGTCGGAAGACACAGATAGAAAAAAAAGGAAAATGATTAGGTTAATTGTTACATCTAATAGTTTTCGAGTAAGCTTGTAAATTTAATAATGATTTAATGTCTCTAACTTTTCAATAATAAAACGGTATTTTTTTCCTAGTTGTATTATAGATAATTTAATTAGAAAGAAAAAAATAACAACAACAACAACCACCACCACCACCAACAAAAACACGATTATGAATACACAAGTTACAGACCGAGAATTGACATTAATATTAATTGCATCAATGCTTACTATTTTGATTGTTTTATTTATTGTTGGAAAATGGCTTAATTTCCACTTACGTGCTTGCTGTTTCAGTCGAGCGCGTAATAGAAAACATCCTACAACTACTTCTATTAGAGAACAATCTACTCAGGTACAGATAGCCACCGAGAGAAGAAGACCAATATGTACAACAGTATTTTTATGCTTCTTATTCTTCTTCGCTTTTTTTGTTCTGAAGGAGCCTATTGCATCTTTTATCGATCTAAACACAATTAATCAATCGCTAAAAAATAATAACGACAGCAATGTATGGACCCCTGCAGTTGGTTCTATATCGTCATTGGCCACAAAAGATACAATATACGATGAGGCTCTCATGCGTTCGTTAATTTTTCTCGTTAATTTTACAGTTCTTTGATTTACTTTCCATTAATTTAGCTAATAGTAATAGTGCATATGACATTGTATCCTATGCTAATAATATTAAATCAACATTAAAAAGAACAATATCCTGTGATTCCGATAATGAATCCATTCTAGCGTCATCCAATGACTCGCACACAACAGAAGAAAATATTGGACCAGGAAAAGTACAAATAACAATTAATTACAATGCGTGAGTTGATTGATAGAAGAAAAATAAATATTAATCGTTTTTCTTTTCCATGTTATTAAATAGGTTAGAAGAATATTTAGAAATATTATTTATTCAAGTTCGTGACTTGACAATATCGTTCGATGATAAAAATGATTTCAAACTATTTATCATTGCATGCTTAGACCATGATCAACGACGAAATCAACGAACTCAGGTCGGACACGTATTTCTTGTTGTTTTTAAATTTAAAATAGTTTTTTTTTTAAATTTTAATTAGATAATCACTTATCAAAAAAATCAGCCAGTAATATTTAATGCATCCATGAGGTGGAAAGTCGTTGATGATCATTTACCACGCACCGTTTTGCATACCTCACTTTATATTCAACAAGAAAATAATGATGAAACGTTAGTAGGTGAGTGCTCGTTTACCATCGGTGAAGTTTATATTTATCAACCGTTAACAACATGGTTAAATTTACATGATAGTGATGAAGTAAATTAAATTTATAGTTGATATATATATATATTTGTAATATTATTCTATTGAAACTTAATAGGCATGTTGGTATCGTGGTGAAATAAGTGTTTCTCTTTGTTATCATCCAACTGCTGATCGTTTAACGTGCTCATTGATTCAAGCACGGAACTTAACATTTTATAATCGCGAATCTATCATCACTGATATGATATCAACAGACTGTTATGCTACAATCTCATTGCTTCATCATCATCATCATCATCAAGTAATAAAAAAAACTCGTACAAGTTGCCATCAAGCAGCAGATAGAAATCCTGTATTTAATGAAACATCTGTATTTAATGTTTCGAGTAATGATCTCCTGACTTCATACATACGCATTGTTGTTTATGAGACCGTATCATTTCCATCGTCGGCATCAACAAGAACATTAGAGATAGGCCATTGTATTATTGGTAATCATGATCGTACACAACATGCGACTCATTGGCAACAAATGCTACGTGTTCTTCGGCGCCCTGTCATCGTCTGGCATCCACTCAAACTGTGAAAACATCTCTGCCATCATTTGTTTAAACATCGGTATGATGCCATTAGATAGAGTTATACGTATTACTACTAATATTTGTTATTTCAATGTATTCCTACACATTGTGTTGATAGGAACAAAAAATCCAAGTAATGGCTGTGTACGAAATATGTGATAATATGTATATATAATAAACGACTGCTGATGTTTCTTTATCATTTAGATTAAACTTATAGAGTATACATTTCTCTGTCAAGATAAAATAGGAATGGTAAATTTTTTTGTTGACATTTTGCAATGTCTATTTTATTCGTATATCTTAACTGATTATTTGTTTTCAAGTGATAGATAATAATATATGCACCTAGTTTTGTAACTATAAATAAATACTCTTACATTGAATGAAGTCAATGTGTGCATACTCAAGATATAATGAAAGATTCCTGATTGAAAAATCCTTGAATGATGGAATCAATGTTATTTTTCTTTGAAATAATATTTCTAAACAATAGTGTTATAAAAAAAAAGATGAAAGTTCGAAATGATTGTCTAACATATTAGAATCTAGTTTAGACTTGACACAACCAATGCATGTCAACGATATCGAAAAGAAGAGATACCGACGCAACAAATAAAAATGGTATTCATCTAAATCAGTTTATGTTTGTAAATCAGATATTTTTTTGTTGACAACTATGCATACGTTACCTTTAGTATGATACGAAACGTAAATAATATGTATTTTTTCCTTACTTTACATGAAAGTCACATGAGTTAAATAGTAGTATGTATAAAATGATCCGCAAAGCTTGTCAATGAGAGTTATTCATGGATGACCATAGATTGTTTTTTTTCAGAACATAAATATTCATTCGATTGATCGATAATTTTTTAAAAGTATTTTGCATTGAAATGGTGTTTTTTTTTAATATATTTTTATATTTACAGTACACGTTACTGAGCAAAATAACTAATGCGATAAAGAGCTGATATCAAATGTGTACAAAAGCGATGTGGTTTACCTTGAATAAGAAGGACATATACTATAAATACATACACGCTTGATTTACCAAGCGATACACCAAATAGCATATTATGATAGTTTTTTTGAAAATCAAATATAAGCGGCGAATATAGTCATTTGATTATTAACGTAAAAGACTGTTCGGCGTCATCATCAAAAGAAACTTGTAACGAAAATGGCTAACGACCCTGTTGTTGCTCAATTAAGACCTGATCAGGTCCAAGAGATTACAACAGCTTTTATGGAATTTGATGTTTCCCGAAATGGTTTTATTACTGCAGGAGAAATGAAACAATGTCTTCGTCAAGCCAATATTCAATATCAAGATGCTGAAGTTGATCGTGTTATATCTAATATGGATTTGAATCATGATGGTAATGCATCATATGATGAATACATGAAGTTTATGGCTCGTGTATACACTGGAAAACACGATCTATTCTATTGGCTTGACGAAGACATTGTTTCATTTCTCCTGCAGTAATAAAACCATTTCGGGAAACATCAAATTCCATCTCAACCACCGTATGCCCCAAATCCATCTCAACCACCGTATGCTCCAAATCCATCTCAACCACCGTATGCTCCAAATCCATTTCAACCACCGTATGCACCAAATCCATCTCAACCCCCGTATGCGCCGAATCCAGCCCAACCGTACGTTAATTATAAACACATTCAACTTTTATTATGTTTAATATATTTTGTTTCTTATAGTTACCAACAACCTCCACCAGCATCGAATTATCCTCCACCACAAGGTCAACAGTATAGTCAACAGCCATCCAATTATCCTCCGCGCAATTATTAAACTTAGTATATTTATTTTCGAATAGCTTTTTTCTTCTTTTCATGTTTCATTAATATAATCAATTATCAAAATTTCTTATTCTTTTGCATTGTATTTTTTTCCTTCTACTCATAATAAAATGTGCGATCGTCTATGCATGATATTTTCATTAAAAGAATTACAAGCGTTAATACAATTAAAAGAGACGGGTACTATGATTGGCCCTAATTATGTTGAATTAGGTACTAAATTAAAACCTATTCAAACGTATAATGCATCACGAAAAAGTCCATGTCCAATTCTACTTTCTGAAAAGCATATTTATGATGGTATGCCATCAAAGTCAACTGTACTTACGATAATGCAATGGGGTCTATCACCATCATGGGAAGTCGACGACAAAGTAAAATTAAAATATCGTATAACACATGCAAAAAAAGAAAAATTAAGTAAAATAAGAACGTTTCAGGTTATTTTTCTTTTCGCATTTATTTATCTATTCTCCTTTAAATTGAATATAATTGATGTTGATTATGTCATAGACATTATTAGAAAAGGGACATCGATGTGTTTTAGTCTGTGAAGGCTTTTATCAATTTATATCGACCGGTAACAAGCTCAATAAACAAGCTTATTTTATACATTTACAAAATATGTTTGATACACGAATCGAACGGGAAATAATTCGACCGTGTTATATAGCTGCTCTGTTTGATACACTAAAACAACCTGACGGACGAGAACTTTATTCATTTACTATAATTGTAGGTAAACATTGAAATACAGTTGAAAGCGATATTTTATTTTTATTCAAGTAGACAGTCGATACGCCAACAAACTTATCTAATAGAATATCTTCTCAAATGCCAGCTATATTTAAGAGTATTGATCAAGCACGTGATTGGATTGATTTTGTTCGTATAGATGCAAATGAAGCTGTTAAACTCTTGGTAAACCATGAAGAATATCTTGTCATAGATCTCGTATCGAATCATATCTTTAAAAAATCAAATATAGGTCATGAAGTAAAATGCAAAATTTCTTTCTTTTCGCTCAATTGAATTATCTTTATAATGATATAAATAGTGCATTGAGATTATATCTAAACCAACAGTAGAAGAAACATCGGCAACACATATCGATGTAGAAGACGATGTCGATATGAAAGTAATTGAAAAACATATTGAAGATATTGAAAAACAACATGAACATCAAATAACACGTTTTATTAATGAAAATGAACGAAATCAATCGAAAAAAGTATTAGATAAGAAAACTTTGAATATTACAGGTGTGAAACATGATGAGCATACATTAAGAACAACTTTAGAAGCTATATCAAATCGAACAAATGTAAGTTATTGTCTATTACAATCACATCGTTCAAATTTTACTCGTATTTGTTCGATATATTTGTTTAGCAGCGATTTTTAGATGCATTGCTCGTACGAGATATGATTGAGAATTTTTATTGTGATAATTCAAATAACATTTCGAGATGAATTTTCATGACAGATATGTCCAAAGAATATTTTGACACAGAAGTGAACCTCTTCACAACGAGTGACAAAAGATATATTAAGTGAAATATTCATTGTCGCTATTATAGAAATTAAAATTTCATTTCGAGTGCTTCATCATTCTTGTAAATTGATTGAGGCATTCAAGTGAGAATATATTTTACTCGGTTGTCTGCCATTAAATTTTCTCAATGTTTTAAACGAGTTTTGATTTCGTATGATATTTATCGCAAACCTCCATAAAAGTGACCGACAGATCTAAATGTCAGCATGCAAAAACTCCTCGCTGCCATTTTTCAAGATTAAATCCAATTCATGTAAAATTTAAAAGAATTTTGAATATTCTTAAACGATCACGAGTTCCAGGTTTTGAAACTTTGCCTAATTTTTAAATCAATGCTATAGTGTACTTTGGGAGCACTTGGGAAAATAATCTTCTCTATTTTACTGGAAATCGAGTGCAATGGTTTTCTTTCAATAGAATAGTTTATTCTGGCACTATTTGCTAGTTTACTTGTTTTCCTATCCTAAAATAAGAACATCAAATCTACTGGTATAGATTAGCTGGTAAATAAAGCATACTCATGGATTAGCCGTATCTCACAATTGGAACAAACACAAAGAAATGTTTTCGGTTAAGATTCGTTTCAAGTCGAAGCTAAATAATAAGTGTTTCCTGTTGGACACTCACAACATTCATTTCAGACATTCTGTAAAAGTGTAAAAACCTCAAGATCTGAATTATTGTCGAAATATTCACAGTTCATTTCTGCCTGTATAATATCAGCAGTCTCGGCTTATTCATTACGAGCAAAATAAATTGAAAATATTTATACTTGTATTATTCAAGAGGGTTACTTCATATAATAATTCATTTTTATGCCAACTACTTTTTTTTGTTTTAGAAAACTAGTAATTCGATGGTAATCGGAAAGAATACAGAGCACAACCAATAAAAGCTTTCTATATAAAATATCTCTTCGCTAACCAATTGTAAACGAACAAAAATCGAATATATAATATTGTAAATAATAATAGATATTTTATTTAATTAGAAAAATCATCAGTTTTATTTTATCATATACACGAAAACAAAAACAAAATCTGGAATGTGTGTTTATTCAGTAGTTAAGAGCACATATAAGTGCGACACCACGTTTTATCCAATATTTTTGTGATTTGGATGATGGAACTTCAATTGTAAAAACGAAATTTGTTGAATGTCCGGTTGTTGATAATGTACCAGCACGTGTCAAAGTCTTATATACTGGACACATATAAATACCTGACGTTGGTGTCTGTCGATTTTGTTCTGGCTGTAACCATATAACAGGCATTTCTGTAAATAATTCTTTAGCTCGAGATTCTCCAAGTACATGCGTTGCTGGATCCCAACGTGCCCCTTCAACAAATAAACCTCGAATATAACAGCCATCTGTTGGTGTTTGAATAACATCTTTTGACGTTAGTTTCATTACCTTGAAAAAAAAACAGGAAATCAGATTTTGAAAGCAAATAAATGATTTTTCTACATACTTGAAAACCAAAACTGACTGTATCGATTGAAATGACATATTTTCTGGCAAAATTTTGTAAAGTACCAGTTAAAAAGGCTTGTGGGAAAAAGAAACCACTAATCCAGAAAACATTTGGAATGCCATGATCAACCCATGCTTGTACAAATTCAACACGTTGAATCAAATCAAGAACCCATGATGCAAGTGGTTTTAAACTTGGATAAGCCTTTAGAAGACGAAAAAGACGAATGTGTGTATAATAACTTTAAAAAACAAAACTAATATCGAAACATACAACTTTACTCCACATGACTGGTACAGCATTATTAAATAAACTTTTCGACATTTCTTCCAACGCTTGAGATAATACAACTAAGCCTTTCATTGCTTTCAGTAGTTCTTGTAATGAATTATGAATCATATTTAACAATCGATTGTATCTAAGAAGAAAATCAAGTGAAAATAATCGATCAATAGAAAAATCGAATAGTGTAATTCAATCTTACCGAATGATTTCTTGTGTTAAAACAGTATTCATTGACTAAAAATGGAAAGAATTCAAATGAAAATCTTGTTTTGTTTCCAAATATAGTTTCAATACATTTTCCCCAAAGATATCATATTTAGATAGTATCAACTGCCTTGTTTTTTAGTTTGCAAAAAACTCGTGTATTTCCCGATCATGCCTAATCTATGACATAGGATCTACTCTTTTTTGTTTGTTAAGTACTATGATGTTTGAAAAAACTTCGAAATAATTCTCTCATTAACAAATAAACTGGCTTAAAGAATCGGAAAATGTTTTTTTTAAATGTTTTCTTTCTATTCTGCTCGCTTCGACTGTTGATATTCTCAAATCTCGAGATTAAGTTCTTAGTTGAAACAAACATTTCAAGATGTATGACATGATTTAGTCTCTTTTTGTGTACTCAACAAACAAAAGAGTACACTATAGAATCGGTCAGTGTGTCCGGCCGGCCGTCCGTTTATTCGATAGCTCTTCACAATTACATTCGATTGAGCTGAAATTTTGTGCACAGAATTGTCTCATCAATATCCAGGTCGAGTTCGAAGATGAGACGGATCCGTCAAGAAATGGCTGAGCTATCGAAAAAATTGTCATTTTTGATCAGACCATCCCCGAGGGGGACTACAGGGATTTTTCAAAAAAAACTTTTTTTCTCAGAATTACCCACAACATATATAGATCGACTCAGTTTTTAACGCTGATTCTAAATCTGATATTAGTTTTGAACGATGCCGTAGCTTTCTAACGAAACATTGCCTGAAAAACGTCTCAAAATGCACAAAAACTGCATCCAGAAATCAAATTGCCTAGTTTCTCATGATAATTTTCGTGTTAAGACATTCTAGAATGACTCATATGTCCCATGCCCTTTTGCAGTACACATAACTCTCGGATGAAATCCGAAGTTTCCACATTTATTTTAGTATAATAATAATAATAATAATAATAATAGTTCCCATAGGCTTATCGCCCGTTGCAGCAAGCGCTGGGGCCCACGTGCACTAGTTTCTTTGATCTTTTTCTTTTTACGGACGATGGTATCTGCACTTCTTTCCGTCCAACGCTTCTCCCATATGGGTTGGCGATCATCATAAGTATCTCGTGATTGTGACATCTATGATGGGACTGTTTTTGACTCTGTATATTGACTAGTGATGCAATCAATACACTATCGGATGAGTCATCCGAGACAAGTAGAGCCGTTAGTGATTTGCGCAGAGTCATTACATAACTGGTGACACTGAGGTTTGAACACAGTGTATTGTGAATATGTATCGAACAACACTTTTTTTAGTACACTATTTTATTATCATGTAGTAGAATATTTTTAATGATAGGAATACAACTTTTTAAGACTTTCGAATTTTCTTCATTTAAAATATAAGAATTTCAACAAGGATCTATATCATGACTTGAATCTTGACATACTGTGTTGAATAAACAAAAATGATCACTACGAGTCGCCATAGAACATCTAATTTTGAATTGAGCTTTCGAACTTTATAATTTGAATATTCTTGAAAACTTTTATCCTATAGAGCTTAACAGTTATATCATAGTCGCATGATTCTAGGGTCACTGTAACCAAAACGAGTCATGTACTCAATATAGGTGATTACGTTTAAACGAATGATTTACTCTCCCTATCAAAGACTTGGAGCAAACTAATCATTTTTTTGTGCCAGTTCAATATATGAATGCTTTCCTAGTGCTCATTCATCATACTTAATACGATTTCGTTTTAGTTCTCTCAGTAAGTTGCGGAATATCGAAATCCAGCTAAATTTAACCCATAACCGTCGGCTAACTTTAATTCAAGCACTGTTGGAAGAAAAATTCTATAAATATAACAAATCTAATTTCGCATGCAATGCTTTTATATATCTGCAGATTTGTCTAAAAATAAACGAATTATTTTTATGAAATTGCTTTTCTATCATGGTTAATTACTTGTGTCCTGTCATCGTTCCGACGGTATAACAAAAAAATCACGCGCTATATGTTTATTATCATCTCTCATTCTATTTTCTAATGCTTGTTGACATTTTCAACGATTCATAGTTAATCATATAAGAATGTATTGAACTAACCTGCTCATACATAACTGGATATTTTTCCATAACCGTAGCTAATGGTAAAGGGCGTGGTACACGTGAAAGAACATCTTTTACTAGTTTTTCAATGACCACATCTCGATTTTCACCGGCAGTTGCTGTTTTTGGCTGTAAGTCAAGTAAATCCGTTAATGTACGATAGGTTTCGTTTTGTGCAAATGTAACTAAAAGAAAAATCATAAGTCTCATAGAAATAAATTCTTGTGAAGCGTTTACTATTTGCATTTTCGTGTAAACCAAATATTTCTGGTGTATCATTAATTGGTAAACTACGAACATAGCCAACATACGCTTGATGTTCAGATACCGGTGGTAATTGATGATAGATTTGAGAGTCATCGTAACAAAAATTTGCATCAAGCACTTTAGCTGCGTAAAAGTCATCCAATACATTCATTACGCAACGACGATCCCAATCATCTGTTACACGACCACCTGTGATGAATAACAAAAATAAAAGTTTTTCTTTTCGAACTACTTTCAGTTTATTCTATTTACCATAATTTATCTCTCCTGCAGTGTATTTTAGTACCTAATAATAAATGAAAATAGGTAGGCTTCTATTAGCTATTATTTTTTTATGGTTTTGTTTTACTTTGTAAGCTATTTCTGTATATTCCATTAAGAACATTCTTAACTGACTCATACAAATACGTAAATCACCATCGGTGAATTCATACGGAATATTGAAGCCAAGGGGACCTAAAATATGAAAATGAATTCTCTAGGGTAATCTTATGGTTGGAGAAACTGTTAGATTAATTATAGTTTTATTATTGTGATGAATTTTTATTCTTTGTTAGTTAGAATGAGAAAAAAACGATCTACTATAGAAATGAATTAAAAATCTTCCTCGGAGGTATTTCCTGGAAAGTCATCATACAAAGCAACTTCTTTACTGAATTAGAAAAATTAACGTACACTCATTTGAATTTTCTTCTTGTGTGCAATTCATAGTAAAAGACTAGACGGTCATTATAATAGTAAAAGAAGAAATATTATACGTGGTGTAACACAACGGCCAATGTGTAAATACATTTGTTTTATTATTAATTCTTCGTTGACATTAGTCACAACCGAATAACTTAATTTTATTCCGGAAGAGAATTCGTTAGAAGTTCTACATCCTTGCGGAAGTTCACAGAATAGAATTTTATTATTGCGGATAGGATTTAACTGCTGAATGAAATATTCAAACAACATCTTTTTAACATGTTATAAATCTCTCAAATTGAACTGCTAATAGAATTATTTGCTGTTCATTCTCTTATTTGTTAGATCAATTATTTATATATCAAACGAAAGTCGATAATACAAGGATACATGTGATGCTGCAAAACATAAGAACTTAATAATGGCAAGGATTTGAACATTTTTTTCCCATAAAATATTTGTAAGTAAAGCTATAGAAGAGTTTTCTTATATATATATATATATATTGTTAAGACTTGATTTCAGCTTGAGGAAACACCGTCGGTGCTTTTGCAATGAAATTTCTCTCCTTTTGATAAAAAAAAGATTAATCAAGTTTTACTTGAAATGCATCGAAGAATTATATCAAAAATAAAGTTAATATAGAATTTTTTTCTACCGCTTATTTATATTAATTTATACAACTTATAATATAATTCATAGAAAAAAAAAAGTTTCTCAATTTCTTACCGAATTTTCTGCGTTCAAGTAAAACAGCATGAAATAGACAAAGCGATAAAAGTAGATGTTTAAACTCATCAACCTAAGACAATGAACAAAGAAAAAAGAGACTTTTATGCTAAAATCTAAAAACAATTATAGAAGAACAATCTTTTCATACTTTTCCAGTGCACGATGTAAGAAAATCATCACTCAGCGTTATATACGATCTCAGCAAATTAGCTTTGATACCACGAGGCGGCTCGACTGTCATTTTACTTCCATTTTGTAAAATCATTACGGGAAATTGAGGACTTGGCATACTTGTCAACCATAATCGGAAGTCTTTATGTACCTGAAGGTGACAAATTAAATACAAAAAAGAATGAGATTTTCTTCTTTCTTCGGATACAACAATTTTGCAATGAGTAGGAAGGAGAAGAAACAGAGAATTCATTATTATTTCCTTTCACTTCTTTTCTTTTTGTTTTTTTGACAGATTAAGTGATGAATTATTTAATGAAACTGTTCTGGTAAAATCAGAATTTACAGATTACGATGAAATAGCAGTCATCTAGATGAAGCTGTGTTGTTGGCTCGAAAATCAGAATCATAAGCACTCTGCGTTTCGCCCACATAAATGTAAACGAAAACAATATTTAGAAATATTGTGTTTCATTTAATATATGTATCACAGAATTTTTGTAGATTATTCTCCACAACATACTGCTTGTTTTTCGATGCATATATTATGTGCTTTTTTAAATACATCAATACGGATGAATATTCTCTTATCAAATTTCCACTCAACTTCAGATCCCTTTTTTGTTGTACTTACATGATCAGGATCAACTTGTTCTACTAATCTTTCTAAACTTGGCATCCATGATGGTGATAAATGGCAATTTTGAAAAAAGACCCATTGCCCCTTTTCCATGGCAGCTCGCATCAATGATTCAGCTCTTGGACCCTATGAAATGCAAGTATGTAACGATTTACGTATTTTTTTTAAATAAGGTTTTCATTTTTACTTGTCCTTGGCCAAGTGATATAGTATTGAGACGTTTAGAAAATTTCATTTCTTCAGCAAATTTATATAAATCAGCAGCTGGATCGGTACCGACAGATAAAACAAAGATTAACGGTGTTGTTGCTGATGAATCACGAAATACAAGATGTAAATCAGCGGTCTATAAAAAAAAATATTGATTAGCATCATTAATATACAAGTGACAGTATCTCATTTTCCTAGTCTCGCTGTAGCCTTAAATAAAGAAAATATATGTGTCCGTTATGAAAATGATATATTGACAAGATTCAAATAAGTAATGTGTCTTTGATGATAAATATATATATACATACTTGCGGCTCAATAAATTTTTGACCAAGATTATTGGATACAAAATCTTGCATAGCATTTGTAACTTTATCTGGACGTAGACATTTGAGAAAGATTATTTTTTGAAAATCATCCAAACCATCAGCCCATTCTTGAGGTAGAGTTGCTCTATTAAAATACAAATAGATAGATGAATAATTAATAAATGAAGACAAGTAATAAGTCTACGTCAATCACGTGCTGATTAGAAATGATCATCAGTAGGCACCGCACGGCAAGTATTTACTCCCCAAGGAAGATGATTCGCTCTAGTGTCTATCTACTTGTACTCTTTTCTGTTTTTTTTGTAGATTTATATAAATAATTTCTCATCATCAACTAGAAATGGCAAACACATAATATATGTGTCATAAGCAGCGAATAATTTCTTTCGCTTATGCTTTATTCACATATTATCGAACTCTCCATTGTTCGAGAGATAATTTATGAATAATTTTATCAGATGAATTCATTCGTTCTTCAAAAATTTGAAATTTATAATAGCATCCATTCTTGTCTCCAATTAACAATGAATGAGTTTCATATTTTCTCGGTACAATATTAAAAATTTATGCATCGAGCGAGCGATTTAGATAAATATATAGTATTTCTTTGCGTTAGATCAGATGTAAATAGGGCCATAAATCACTATGGATGTTACTCTTGTTGGTTAACCGATATTATTCTTGACATGAATATAAAATTTTCATCATATAAACAATTACCATACCGTAAGAACTCAAAAAAGAACGTTTTTTTATATATTTAAAAAAAAGAGAGAAAATCGCTCTATTGTAGAGACATTTCTAGTACACTTCTCTACTTTATGAATGTGTTCACTCGGTGAGGATTTGTCTCTTTTTTCAATCAGAGGTAAATCAAATCATATTGGCATGATTTCATGCTATTAGCTTGCTCTGACATATTACATCAAGCACTATTGCTGTGATCTAGTATTAGTTGTTTTTTCTCTCTTTTAGATGTCTACAATTATTAGATTGTTCTTTTCCTACTGATGATAACACAAGACACATAACATGATTTTCTCCCATTGTATACGTAAGTATCAAAACATATTAATTATCCGTGAAAAAAGAGATAAGCATCCTCGGTCTTATTAAAGGCATATTTATATGAATTTACTCAAGCGATCATTCTGCTCTGCTAAGATTTTTTTCCAACAGAAAAATGTTCTAAACGCAAATGAACTTGTCAGTTTATTTTATCACCTTAACCATCTACGCTGTTTCTTACAATGTCAAGTAGCATAGATATGTAAGTTTTATATTAATTATAATATCCAAATAACGACTACATCATATTTATATGATATCATATCACTATCTTGTATGTATATATATATATATATATGCCCACTAGATATTATACATTTGGTAGGCATCGATATCTATCGTAAAAAGAAACAGAAAAACTTGTATTTGATAACGAACTGTCGACAAGATCAATGTTTTTACCCCTTGTTTAGGTATACTCGTATTAAAAGGTAAAGAATTCTTTACATATTTTTAATCCTACTAAAGAAAATAGGCAAAGTAAATTTCTTTCAATATATGATGGGATAAAGTTACGGTCTAATTATTCCGAAGTCTCACCCTTTTTTTCTTTTCTCCTTGCTGTCTACTTAATGAATAAATCTCACATACATCTATATATTCTTTTTCTCAAGTGTGTTCATCATTGACATATTTCCTTCAACTGAAGTTTTGTTCTCTATTGAGAATAACAGCAAGCGCATATATAATGCAATAACGGTGATGAATGAAAAACGACACAAACCATCATTATAATTATCAACATTATTCGCATTTCTCTGATTTTACTATTCATTTAATGAATCAATTCTTCATGCATTCGTTTTTTTGTCTGTTTGCTCAAACGGGAAAGGAAGGAAAAAGAAAAGTCAAGAAAGATGAAATAGACAATGCATAGAGTAATTCCATTTAATATAGGCTATTGTATTTGTTGTTGTCTAACACATTATTTTTTCACTTTACAGTCACAAATGCGCGTCGCCAATGGAGAGTAATTGATTTGTAACATCTACGTTAATATTATGACCGTAACATTTTCCTGAGCAAAATTATTTATAGTGATTTCAAGAACTGCTTTAAAAGAAAACAAATATGCCCTATGGGCTGAATCTGGTTGATGCGTTCAGTACATCATACACATGAAAGAAGCAATAGATTTCTCTTCGTTTTCTTTCCTACTTCTTCTTCTTCTGAAAAGACAACATGAGTTATAGGCTTTGTGTTTAATGCATTTGCCATGTATACATCCGATGATGTATTATAGTTTCTATCGAGTAAAATATTCTTCAAGCTTTCAATTGTTTACAACGACGACGGGTTTACATATTGCAAGTCAAATGAAAAGTGACTAACGAGAAAAACTCTCGAACATATTTTTTTTTCTCATATTAAGTATTATTACCTGTTCAATGATAATCAAAAACGTAAAATAATTGATTTAATTATATTCTCTGGTAAGTAATTGGTGTAGATAGAACAACAAAGTATTCAAAAAGAAATATCTATATGGAAAAAAATTCTATAGTACTAGTGCACGACTGAGTAGGATATCATAATGTGATTAACATTATTCCAGGTGATAGAATCTTACTGTAAGATCCTTGCACGATTTCGTCAGATCTAATAAGATTCTTGTATGATTTTTATACGATGAGACAGAATTTATGATTTTATTGTCAGATTTCATAAGATTGATGAACCTGGGATCCTTTATTGTCTATGGTTTTTGTGGAATTCACATATGTTTTCGAAGAAAATGGTATGTGTAAGTTTAAAAGCGAGATTTTTGCGTCTCCTCACCCTCTCCCCATTACAGACATTAATGAGTTTACAATTGTGCTAATTAGAACCTTGACTAATTAGGTTGCTATTTCTTCCTTTTTTAATCGCAGACTTCGCGAAAAGCGCAATGCTTGCCCATTACAGATCATAGAAACTAGTCTCTGCCATTGCTAAATATACGAGCTAACAATTAATATTCCATTGCAGACCTAAGCAAATAGGCAATAACCTAATTATAGGTTTTGGAAACCAAGGTAGATTTTTCAGATGAACTATTTTGGTTTATTTTAGTAAGCCTAAGGGAATATGTCAGTTCCATACTTTAGCTCCTAAGGGACTACGTTGCAAGCTTTTTCTCTCTCTATTGAGTCTTATCTTTCAAGAAATGATTAATACGAATAAAGATTCTTTTCCTCAAATGAGGCTTAGGAAAAACACAATAGTACAACGAACCTTTCTGGGTCAGTGCTATCGAAGATTTTTTTATAATCTTGCAAGTACGTATGAAAATTTTCAGCAAAGCCTTTGAATGGTTCCAATGATTCGAGTGTAAGAATTTCCAACCATATACGATCAGTAATCCATTCTGGTGCTGGATTTGCTACATCCATTGGTCGTATTGCACCACCAGCCAAAAAGAATCGATATTGAGTCTAAATATAACACAGAATAAACGATAGATTAAGTTTGAATGCGTTTTTTTTTCTTTTGGCTTTAGATGTATAAACGTTTCTCGAAATAATTATTATCATGAGTTCTAATCCATGTTTATCGAATATAAATGGAACAATTCGTTCCAATGCATTACATGATATTGAAGTTGCAGGTTACCGTTATGTTATGTCAACTATCTGTATATTCGGTGTTGTATGCAATATACTTAATTTATGTGTTCTTCTTCAACGTCGCCTCAAAGAATCACCATATACCTATTTGACTGGTTTGGCTCTAGCCGATATGCTTACACTTATGTCCATGTCTCCAGTGTCTATTGTACGCGGTGACTCTATTCGACATGAGAATCGTTTCTTTACTTTGGCATGTCTCGAAACTTATATATACATGCCACTAGCAAATTATTTCGGTCAAGTAAGTATAATGATCACAGTGGCATTAACATTCGAACGTTATTTATTTACAACGTATCCATTACGTACACAAAGTTTCTGTAAACCGAGCTATGCTCGTCGTGTCATAGCTATTATATTATTATTTTGTGCTATTTTAAATATTCCACGATTTTCAAGTGAGACAATTAACAAACGTATTGGATATGAATCAGAATTCAATCCTAATTCATGTAGAACACATCCGTTCGTAATTAAATATTCGTCAACAAATAATTCTCACATTGGTCAATGCTTTTGTGTTGTTGGAGATACAAAAGCAGGCTTTTCGCCATATAAAAATTATTATTATTATACAATGTTAGCGATCAATCAAATATTACCGTTTGTGATACTACTCTTTTTAAATCTAAGTTTAATCAAACGTATACAAATATCAAATCGATATACACTGGCAGAATTAACAGCTCGACAACATATCAATATTAATTCGGCAGCACCAACAGTAAATACAATAAAACAAAAACGTTTACGGGACGAACAACGTTTAACAAAAACTCTTGTGGCCGTTGTTATTACTTTTCTCATATGTAATACATTTACAATTGTTTCGTATCCTGGTTTGGTTCGATTTATAACACAGAAAAAATATCCAAATTATTTTAATGCCGGTTTTCGTATACAGAAATTAATAACAAATATAATGTTGTTATTAAATTATTCGATTAATTTTTTTTTCTATTGTGCATTCAATCAAAAATTTTTGGATACATTGAAAAAGACGTTTCGTATTGGAAATTTATCTTGTGGATGCTCCTCATCGGAGCATCGGGGCTTATCAACAAATCTATCGATGAATATTCATACAAAAATTGCTACAACAAATCATTATATATCAAATTATCATGGGAGTTCACAAGAACTGAATAAAAGCCGACGACAACAACAACAACAACAAAAACAAGATATGTAAAAGACAAACAGATTGGACAGTTAATATGAGATATATGTATTTGACAAAAAAGAAACTATATTTCAACCGATAAATATTCAAATAAATATTATTTATATTTATATTTTCTTGTTGTCGTGCACAGAAGAGATAATAAAATCCATTATTCTCGATATAATGGAAAACTTTAATCCATTAGTTGTCTCCGAAGATTTATAAAAATCTTTTCAAAAGCTTTGAGTTGCATAGAAATGATTAACATTTGAATGCCGCTTTGTTGTTCATTTTTCTTTCGACATTGATAATATCAATGTCGCAAGGTCCTGATGAATCCCGGGGGACGTCCTTTGCAAATAATTGCTTCGTTGGAATCCTGGCACGCGTTGCGATGTGTGATTGATATGTGACAGCTGTTGATTCTAATATAGTTACTGCATATTAATAAGGACATATTTGATCAAAACAAAAACATGCAATTATTATTTTATTTTTTGTATTAATTATGTGAATAATTAATTTATGAAATCTTTCAATATGATTGAATCGGATTTCATTATTCGGATGAATTGAAATAGAAGGCCAACCTGACCTGTCATATTCACAAGAAGCAGTGTGAGTACAATGAATTAGTCAAGATTAAACTTCTTTCCGGCCTAATAAATGCGTGCACACTATGTCATAATACTCAAATTCTTTGTTCAATTAATAAATTCAATTTCCAGTCAAGTCTATTTATTCTGTTGTTCTTCATAAACTTTTAATTTAAACATTAACCCAATGATTAACCATAATAAAATATTAACATGAATTATGTTGACTTTTACGTAGAAAAGATTTTTCTTATTTATCTATGGGATAGATAGAAAAGAAACAACGTATTCAATCAATATTTATCCGTGGATGACATGTTTACGAAGATATACCCTTATATGCATATAATAATAAATCGAACTTACCATGTGCATCTTTTTTTGATTCATCAATATTCGTACAGTTAACAAGAATGCAAATAATAATTTGTGTTTTTCAAATAAACTTCGGCATACATTACAATAGAGACTAAATGTAAAGTATTCATTGATATTTTTAATGCGTTTTTCCAAAACATCTAAAAAAAAAGAAAAGAATTAGAATTTTTGTATTTCATAAAAACAAAATATCAAATATTATTTACCGGCACGTGGTGCACTTTGAATACTTGTTAAAAATATATTTGTAAACCATTCTAATGAATATTGATACATAGGATCTATGTTGGCTAAATCTGATACGCAGAAAAATAATATTTGTGTATTAATAGCAACAGGAACATATTCAGCGCGAGTTAAGTCGATATCTTTTTCTGTTTGTTCAGCTGCTTGCATTTTTATCTACAAAAGAAAAAAAGAAAACAAGAATTATTATTTTTCGTATAATAGAAAAGGAAAATACGAACTTTTATTTCAGTGGATTTCGCTTTTGATGCTTCGAGTGCAGCAATCAATTCAATATCATCAACAGGATTTTCACTTGTACTTAATTTTTCAAGAATTGTATCTTCTAATGCTTTTAATTCATTACGCATGGTTGCATTTGATATAATTAATGTATTTTTCATTTCCTCTAAATCAGGACGTTCTTCAGCAACGACTCGAGCTAACATTTGATCTTCCAAACCACTAGAAATGAAGAAATCTTCGTAGATTTTGTTTTCCAAAAACAAAATAGCTTACCTTGGAGATAATGTAAAATTAACTAATGTCACTTTAACTGAAATTTCAGGTGAATAATGTGGATTCGGTAATTTTGTTGTTATATAAAATCGAAAATCATCGTGATATGGAATGATAGCATCACCTAATTTAATTACTGTACTACCCGACTGACGATAAGTCTAGATAAAGAAACAAAAATTTAGATGTTTATATGCTTCGGGCTGATCAAGAATTTACTTGTCGCAAAAGAACTGGTTCAAGCGCTGAAAATAAAGAAAATCAATAGAAAAATAATCTTCTTTAATATCAAAATACATACCAGGATCCATGTCAATGCCAACATTCTCTAATAGACAAGGTTTTCCAAATCGAATGGAATTTTCAAGTGTACGTAAATAATCACGATCTGATAATTTCATTACGTCAAGACCAGTATTTTTTTCCTAAAATAAGATAATAATGTTCTAATGAAATTCCTTTCGGTTTTCAAATACATAATTCGATATAGATAATTTCTTTTACTGAATAGCCGAGAGATTAAAACGAGAAACTATTAATAGATGTTTCTAATTAGGCTATATGATTATTATTATGCGAATTTCTCTCAGTCTTTTGAGGACGTTCGTCAACAGTTCATTGAGGTCATCTTCTATATGATGAACACATGCCAGCTTTTTTCCCTGTTCTCTTCTTTCTTACGTACCATATTTTTAATCCATTTATTCGCTTGTCCTTGAGGATCAATAAATAACGACCAACGGTTTGAATATTGAACAATCACACCATTTTGTACAGATAAATTATCTTTGGGTAAGCCGGCTAATTGCCAACTACGAATTTTGACGGCATCACCAAGAACACGAACTAGTTCAGGATTTTCCGAATGTGGAACTTGATATGCTTTTAATTTAGTTATCCACTCTTTGACCATATTATCACGATATTCAGTCTAATATGATTATTGAAATAATTCAACAAAAATGAAAGAAAATAAAAAAAAAACGTTTCTTACAGTAAATGGACCAAGATAGGCAACGAAACCTGACGATACAAGTACATCGCCAATGACATTTTCTAAAGAATGATCAAGCATTGAGACATTTTCTTGCCAACGAATCTTTTCATCGCCAAGACCAGTTGTTAGCTATTTAAGATGAAAACAAGAAAAAAAACGAATCCTTCATATTCATTGATATCTTTGTTAACTTACGCGTTCAGCTCGAACAATACGTTGATTACATTCATCAACTTTAGTTTCATATTCATTTTTTTTCCTAATAGCATCTTCATATTTCACTTGTAATGTTCTTAAACCTTCTTCTAATTTTTTCAATTCTCGTTTCTTAGTTGCTAACACTTCTTTGACAATCGCCAATTCTGCTTCGGCATTAGCTAATGCTTCTTTACGTGGTGCAACTTCTTTATTGATCATATAAAACGTATACATAGCTCGGCACCACATACATAATGATTTGCATGCTTTCGAATTTTTTTCAATTTTAATTGGATCAAAATCCGGACTATCAATATGTTTTTGTAATTTTTGTATAACAAGTTCCGGTATATTTTCTTTATCAAACTCTCTTAATGATTGAAGAAATCTTCCTGCATCACTTAATAGACCACGACCAGGTTCCCAATAATCATCTTCTTTCTTTCCTGGTTTACTAGGTATAGGTACTTTTAATGGTTCAACTTGTTTCAATATACAGACAGCTTCAATTGTTAATTTGACACCTTGTGGCGGCCGTTGCAATGAACGCACTTCATTGATATCATTTTTCGATAAAACTTCAAGACTTTGCAATGCAGCTTCAAGCGCTGGTAATGCTTCAGCAAGACGATCGGATGCTTCACTTGCAATGGCACGTGTTTCTTGAACTTTTTTCAAAACTTGTTCTTCTTCGGCAGCGACTTTTGTTTTAATTTCTTCTGTATTTGTTGTGTCTTCAGCGATTTTAGCCATGGTTTCATTGGTTTCACGTACAGCTTGATCGAGTAACGGTAACATTTCATTTAATTCAATACGTAATTTCGAAACATCTTTTTCTGTTGATAATAATTTATCCAAACCAGTTTTTGTACGTTTTTTTGCTAAAACTAATTCGTCTTTCTTTTTACCGAAAATTTTCGAAAATATATTCAATAATTCAAGATACGATGTTGGCGTAACATAATTATATCGACTCATTTCGTCACGATATCGTTGCGTCATAATTGCTACGGACTGATGAATCTCTTGACATAATTTTACTAAACCATTAACAACACTATCGTCAGCGTCTAATGTTGGCATATTATTTAAATATGTTTCAGCGACGGCTTCTAACGCATCTTTCGGCCATTCAGAATACCAATCAATTGTACAACAACTAGAAGTAGATATTTGATATTGAATAGGAGAACGTCTTCAAATATCGATTCAGAGAATATTTAGATTTTTGAATTTTGAATTACACAGATATAATTTCAAAAATGGTAGCTATACTTTTATGTTTTAATATGTAAAATAGTTAGATTGAAATATTCAATGTTTTCTCTGTTACTTCTTGCAATAATTGTTTTGACAGCACTCGGATTTCTTTTAATGCACTATTTACTTATTATAATGTAAACTTACTTGACTAATGCAGGAAATTGACGAAGTCGTGCACGGAAAATTTCACCGATCGGGCTAGAAAATAAATTTCGATATTTTTTCTGTTAATCACATATTTATCTTCTTACGTACCTCATACAAACAACAGAATGTAGATTCTGTCGTACACGTTTTGTGTAAGCTGAATAAAGATTTGTTTTTGTTGGTGGAAGTGCTGCTTCGGATACAACAGGTTTCATTGCAGTAAAAATTTGTTCAAGCTCATCGATTTGATATATATTTGGTACATCACCACTATTTAATATATTATTAAGATCTTCAAGAAATGATTCACTTTTGATCTATAGATAGATTCATAATAGTGATTCGAAAAACAAAAGAAAATAATTCTATTACTTGAGTATCAGAAAAGAGAAATACAGTTGCAATATTGCGAAGACCAGCGTGTAGCATAAATTTTTTTAAATCATCCTTCCATTCGGTTACACCTGTGAAACAAAAAAATGTAGAATTGATTTCAATTTAATCATCATAATTATTTACCATAGCTTTTCGATAATTGAATCGAACGAATTTCATATTCAGCACTAAATAAGAAAAAAACAATATTATTCATAAATATTTCATTTTTTCTTGTCTTTTGTTTTCAATTAGGGAAAATTTCTAACTTAATTGCCAATCGGTTTTTATGCCATATAGCAAAATTTGACGATATAATGTTTTATTTT